CTGAGTCTAGTAGGGTAGCTTCGTCGGGTCAGGTGTTTGCTGCAGCATCCAGGTCTGGTCCTGAGTCTGCCCCCTGTTCGTGTCGTCTCCTGTCTCACGAGACTCTCCTCTGGCACAACCGCCTTGGTCACCCCTCTCTGCTTCCGCTCAGAGGCATGGCCTCCCGTCTTCTTGTGTCTGGTCTCCCCCGGTCCCTCCCTCCCCTTCCTCAGGGCCCTGGCCCTACCTGTGTCCCCTGTGTCGAGGGGCGCCAGCGTGCTGCCCCTCACTCCTCCTAGTTTCCTCCGACAGAGGCCCCGTTGCAGACGCTTCACATGGACGTGTGGGGCCCAGCCCGCGTCCGTGGACAGGGTCACGAGCGCTACTTCCTGCTCGTTGTTGACGACTACTCGCGTTACACCACAGTCTTCCCCTTACGCAGCAAGGGTGATGTCACTGAGGTGCTGACCGATTGGATCCGCGCAGCTCGTCTCCCGCTCAGGCAGAGCTTTGGCTTGGACTTTCCTGTTCTGCGTCTGCACTCGGACAGAGGCGGAGAGTTCTCCTCTGGCCTTTTGCGAGCCTACTGTCGTGCACGAGGCATCCGTCAGACCTTAACGCTTCCGGACTCTCCGCAGCAAAATGGGATTGCTGAGCGCCGCATTGGCATGGTCATGGACGTCGCTCGTACGTCTATGATGCATGCGGCTGCCCCCCATTTTCTGTGGCCGTTTGCGGTCAGGTACGCGGCGCATCAGATCAACCTTCACCCCAGGGTCTCCAGGCCGGAGACCTCCCCAGCCCTGCTGTGGACGGGGAAGGTTGGCAATGCGTCGGCGTTCCGGGTCTGGGGATCTCGGGTGTTTGTCCACGACTTGTCTGCGGACAAGCTGTCCCCTCGCGCTGCTCCTTGCGTCTTCCTGGGGTTCCCCCCTGACGCGCCTGGGTGGCAGTTCTACCACCCCACCTCTCGCCGTGTTCTGTCCTCCCAGGACGTCACGTTCGACGAGTCGGTCCCCTACTACCGCCTCTTCCCCTACCGCACTCCGTCCCTCCCCCCGCCCCCGCTCTTCGTTGTACCAGGTCCCCCCCCGGTAGACCCCCTCCCCCCTCAGGGTCCTGCCCCTTCAGGTGTGTCCCAGGTAGACGCAGTCGAGCCTGTCAAGGTCACTGGTGACTCTGGTGCTGCTGAGGGTGCTGAGCCTGGGGTTGCGGAGCCTGGGGGTGCTGAGCCTGGGGGTGCTGAGCCTGGGGTTGCCACGCCTGGGGGTGCTTTGCCTGGGGGTACTGGGCCTGGGGGTGCTGAGCCTGGGGGTGCTGAGCCTGGGGTTGCTGGGCTTGGTGTTGCTACGCCTGGGGGTGCTTTGCCTGGGGGTGCTGGGCCTGGGGGTGCTGAGCCTGGAGGTGCTCCGCCTGGAGGCTCTCTGGGTGCTTCGTCTCGCCGGGAGCCACTCTCTCCACAGGACCTGCGCGAGTGGTTTGCCCGGCGCTGGAGCCGTGTGCTGGTGCTGGAGGTTCTTCGGCTACTGAGGGTGCTGCTGTCGCGGGTCCCGGAGGTCCTCGTACTGGGCGTACTGGAGCTGCTGGACCTACAGGTTCGACTGGAGCTGGTGCTGCTGAGGGTGTTGGCGCTGAGACTACCTCTGGCGGTCCTGCTGGGGGTGCTCCTGGTGCTGCTGGAGGTTCTAGAGCTACTGGTGGTGCTGCTGGAGCGGGTGCTCCTGCTGGGGGTACTTGTGCTGTCCCTGCTGTTTCTGGCGTCGCCACGCGGCCTCGACCGTACTTCGTTCCACTCCTGCAGCAGGTTCTTGGTCTTCCACCTTCTACTGGTCCTCCTCCTCCCTTAGAGGGTCCACAGCCTGCCCCGTCACAGTCACAGCTACAGCCTACCTCCCCTTTGCCTGCTCCTTCTCCCTACGCTGGTCCTACTGGAGGTCTTACTGAGCGTCGTGAGCCTGTGTCTCTCCCTACGTCGCCTGTCCGTCCTACTCGTGCTAGTGGTCGTGGTTCGCGTCCGCATCCTCCTCCTGTTCCTGGCACACACCGGATGTCTCTGCATCCGTCTACTGCTCCTCTGCGTGCCCCTTTGCCTTCTCCTCCTGAGTCCTCTCTTCCTGCTCTTGCCGACCCGGAGTCGGACTCTCTGCGTGCTGCCAGTCCTACTGTCACGCGTCTTCTTGCTACTGTCCTCACTGACCCTTCTTTCGAGTCTACTGCTGCGTCTGCCCTCGTTGCTGAGCTCATCGACTTTGTTGCTCACTGTCATCTAGACTACGCTGCTAGTCTTGTTGCTGAGTTTGAGTCTGTCTGTCCTCCGTTCGTCGCGGGTGAGTGTGCCCTTGGCACGGACGTCCTTGAGGACAGACAGGAGGAGTTCCAGTGTCTGGAAGCTGCTTCACCTCATCTCGTGTCTGTACTGCTTACCCCTGAGGGAGACCCGGATGCACTTGACATCCCGACTCCGCGCTCTTACGCTGAGGCGATAGAGGTTCCCTACTCCTCTCAGTGGCAGGCAGCTATGGATGCAGAGATGGCTTCCTGGAAGTCCACAGGCACCTACGTTGACGCTGTCCCCCCTCCTGGGGCGAACATCGTCAGTGGCATGTGGATCTTCAGGGTGAAGCGGCCGCCGGGTTCTCCGCCTGTCTTCAAGGCGCGTTACGTGGCTCGTGGCTTCAGTCAGCGGCAGGGGGTTGACTACTTTCAGACCTTCTCCCCCACCCCGAAGATGACCACTCTTCGGGTACTGCTGCACGTTGCTGCTCACCGTGACTATGAGCTGCACTCTCTAGACTTTAGCACTGCTTTCTTGCAGGGCAGCCTGCACGAGGAGATCTGGCTGCGCCGCCCACCTGGCTTCACTGGGTCTTTCCCTCCTGGTACCCAGTGGAGTCTCCGGCGTCCAGTCTACGTTCTCCGCCAGGTGCCACGTGAGTGGCACGACACACTGAGGACTACACTTGCGGCTCTTGGGTTTGCTCCTTCTACTGCCGACCCGTCGCTGTTTCTGCGCACCGACACCTCTCTGACGCCGTTCTACATCCTCGTGTACGTCGACGACTTGGTCTTTGCCACAGCTGACACTGCTGGACTCGCCTACGTGAAGTCCGAGCTACAGAAGAGACACACGTGCACTGACCTGGGTGAACTGCGCAGCTACCTTGGCTTGCAGATCACCCGGGACAGAGCACGCCGCACCATTACCCTGACTCAGTCACACATGGTGCAGCAGGTCCTTCAGCGCTTCGGCTTCACGTACTCCTCGCTTCAGGCCACTTCTCTTCCTTCTCGCCACTCACTCTCAGCTCTGCCTTCGGATGAGTCCGTAGAGTCGAGTGGCCCGTATCCATAGCTTGTTGGTTGCCTCATGTACCTGATGACCTGCACACGACCTGACCTTGCATACCCTCTTAGCATTCTTGCATGCTATGTTGCTCCTGGGAGACACCGACCAGAGCACATGGCTGCAGCGAAGAGGGTGTTGCGCTACTTGTGCAGTACGTCGGGCATGGGGCTAGTGCTTGGAGGGCAGATTCCAGTGGTCCTTACTGGGCACGCGGACGCTTCTTGGGCTGACGACCAGGCTACGCAGCGGTCGTCACAGGGTTACACCTTCAGCCTTGGTTCCGGCTCTGTTTCGTGGCGGGCTACTCGCTCGTCTTCTGTTCTCGGCTCCAGTTGTGAGGCTGAGATCTACGCCAGGGCCTTCGCTGGCTCACCTACCTTCTGACTGACCTTGGAGAGCCGCCTCGTTCTCCTCCGGTCCTGTACGTAGACAACAAGGCCATGATGGCCTTGTGTCGAGAGCAGCGACTGGAGCACAGAACAAAGCACATTGCGCTTCGCTACTTCCTTGCTCGTGAGCTACAGCAGCGTGGTCAGTTGCGGCTTGCGTACGTGGCCTCTGAGGCCAACACTGCTGATTTTTTCACCAAGGCGCTTGCGCCTTGTGATCATCAGCGCTTCTGTACTCAGCTTGGTCTTGTGCCTGTCTTGCCTCACTTGCTCACTGCTTGATCTTGCTTGTACTGTCACATATATATACTCCTGCTCTTGCTTGCTTAGCCTTTTATATATATATATATATATATATATATATATGCTCCTGCATGTGAACTGGCCTTCTGGCCTTGAACTTGTGCTCGGAATGTGTGGTGACTTTGTGATCCACCCTGAGCTTTGCTTTGCTTTGCTTGACTGGTCTTGTGACCCCTTGTTCTCCCCCACTTTGCCTATGGGGGTGTGTCAAATTATAATGTTCTGTAGGCTATACTGGGGTAGCCCATATGGGGTACACATTTCTAGGGTTGCATATTTGTATCACTTTCATTCCATAGTCATTTCATTCTCGTTCTTATCTTCTCAAGTAGAATAAAGGTGTAGGAGGCAGAATAGTATATTAGGATATATGCACTTAATGCATATATAGCTACACTAGCACGGGGCGCGGAATGTTGTACAATGACGGTTGCAATAGGCAAAAGAGGGGGGAACAAAAAGGGGACGATTGGAATTACGGGGGAAAGCACCAAGGGGCAAAATGGGAAACCAAATCCTCACCCGGAGCCACGCATTGGGAAATGTGCAGCCAGCGGTGAGGATGGGTAAGGTCATTCACATTCACCCACTCGATGATTGTTTCTTAGTATTCACTCATATCAGTGGAAGTTAGCACTTTTTCAGCTCTTAGCACACAGTGGTACGCCACGAGGAGGGAACCAATGGGGTGAGGGAGCGATCCCGTTCATACTAAGAAACAAGCGTAGGCACGTAATATGGATGAGTATGAGTTGCGATGGGGTTGGGCCTTCACTTGTCGAGAGGAGGAAGGGACGCGGCATGAGCGCTCGCAGGAGCGTGGGCGTTCCCTAGAAAGATCGCCGCGATGGCCGGCCTTCCGTGCAGATAGAGTGCCCGTCGTGCCAGCCAGGCGAGAGAGAGAGGCGGCGCAAGGCGTATCTAGTGGCGGCAGACTCGATACATCGACGCGCGGTGCGCCATGGCGAAGAAACACGTACCACCTATGCGGCGATGACCACCGCCACCTGCGCGACGAAGGGGCGTTTCGCTCCCAAGAAGGGGGAGGCCGGCGACGTGATGAGCGAGGTCGCTGGCGTGGGAGGGAAGAACTCCCGCGGGAGCGAGGAGAAGGCTCGGGCATCCGCCGGGCCGAACAGGATCCGCAGGCCGAGCTGACGCGGGAGGAGAGTGACGAGGAGGCTTAGCAGGAGTACGACGACAGGCCGGCGTACGACGACGGGCAAGGGTACAGCCAACGAGCGGGAGCACGGTGACAAGCAGGAGTACAGTGACGAACCGGAGCATGGCGAGGAGCAAGAGCACTTCAACCCGCAGCAGGATTGTGACGAGCTGACGCGCGCGAAACTCCACGTCCCGAGCTGAGCCGAGGAGGGAGACCACGTGCCCAGCACGGAACACGCCGACACCGCGGCGACAGCAGAGGAGGAAGAGGGAGAGGCGCGAAAGGAGGGGTCACGTGCCACGGACCCCAACCATCTGGAAGGGCAGTACACCCGCGATGCACGGTAGCAGGAAGGACGAACTCGTGAGGGAGAGGCACTCGAGGTGCAGCCGCAAGGAATGCGCGGACGGAGCGAGGCGGAGGACAGGCGCACGACAGGAGTCCAGCAACGGCGGTTGGAGCTGAGGGACGGAAGCTCGCGCTCGTCCAGAGAAGCGCCGCCGAGGGCCGAGCGGTATGGGGACGTGGAAGGAAGGCGGAGAGGAGTGGGGGAGAATATGGTCCGCTCGGCGGCTCGACCGCAAGCACATGGAGGAAGCCGTGGCGGGGAGCATCGCTCGCCAGAGACGCAGTGGCAGTGGGAGGAGCATCGGAAGGGAGGATCACACTCACCGCACAGGCGGCAGCAGTGGGGGGGAAGGGCCCAGAGGAGAGTTGCGGTTGCCCGACCGGCGCCGTTGGCGAGAGGGAAGGCGGGAGGAAGCAGGCCGCTTGGCGCATGGCATACGGCAGCAGGTCAAGGGAAGGGAGGAGTGGTCACCACCCCCAGCGGGACGTCAGGCGCGTGTAGCCAGCCAAAGGGAATGGGAGAAGAGTCACTACTCGCCGGCACGGTGATGGGAACGGGCGGGAAGGGAGGAGGATCAGTGAGGACACTCGAGAGAGACGCTCAGAGGGCAGCTGGAGAATAGGGCCAGGACTGGCAGCTTGGCAAAAGGGGCTGAGCGTGCACGAATGGCCAGAGAGAGCCTGGAATGAGCTAGGCAGAAGGGAGGGTATGGGAGACAGCGGGGAGGGGTGAGTGAGTCATGGGGAGAATGAAGAGCGGGCGCGGCCACGGCGACAAGGATAGAGGTGCCGCCCAGGTTCTCAGGCGATCAGCAGGCGGGGCCGTCGCTCAAGAACTACCTGTTGCAAGTGGAGAATATGAAGTATCGGTGTGACCGGAATGGCATGGACCCCATAGACTTCTTCTTGAGCCTGCCAAATACCTTGGATGGGGAAGCTGAGACTCTGTACCGTTTGAGGATGGAGGAGCTGCTGTGGAGGGTAGGGAGTGACAAAAGTTAGAAGAAGAAAAAGGGATTGAACTAGCAAGAATGAGGATACAAATAGCAAACCCTAGAAGGGTTGTACTCGCTATAGAGCACCCCACTACAGGCTAGAACAATAAGATAATATTCTGACACACCCCCATAGCCAAAGTGGGGTGTAATCAGCAGAGCAGGCAAAACAGTACAAGCTCAGGGTGGATCACAATATCACCACGCATTCTGAGCACAAGGTCAAGAAGAAATAGTTCAAAGTTAACAATTATGAGCAAAGCTAGCAGTGGTCACAACGGGCAAGTGAGGAGGAGGAGGGAGAGTGAGAGGAGAGGAGATAGAAGGCGGCGGCTGAAGCTGCAGACACACGGGCAACAGGAGTGGCGAGCACAGTGGCTACCGGGACAGCGCCCCGGACTACGGGAGTAACAGGCCCCGCGGCTCAAGTAGCGGCAGACGGGCAACGGACCCACAGGCGACCGGCTCAGCGACAAGCTCACTGGGCTACCGGGACAGCGCCCCGGACTACAGGTGCTGCGGACGACAAACTGGCAACCTCCGCTCAACCTCCCACACACAGTCCCACCCCCCTCATACACACCCACTGCTACACCGCTAGCTCCACTCCCACGCACCCCCCTTAAACCCTAAACCCAGTCTCCCACACAACCACCCCCCTCAGCGACAGCTGCAGCAGTGGGAGACGAAGGAGGAGGAGGAGAAAGGGAGGAAGGCACACCGGCCACCCCCATACCCGCCACCCCACAGCTCGCCACGACGGACGACGGGAAATGGCAGGGGGGGGGGGGGGGGAGGCGGTGTGGTGAAAGGGGCCCACAACGGGCCTGGTTGGAGGGCGGGGCCGCGACAAGGGGCGGGGCCGCGACGTAGGGCGGGGCCGAGCCGGGCAGGCGCACGGGCGGCGACGGGCCGGGGCGGGGCCGCGACGAAGGGCGGGGCCGAGCCGGGCAGGCGCACGGGCGGCGACGGGCCAGGGCGGGGCCGCGACGTAGAGCGGGGCCGCGTCGAGGGGCGGGGCCGCGACGATCGGGGCGGGGCCGCGACGTAGGGGAGAAGCCCGCCGCGCGCCTCGGGGCGCACAGCGGGCAATGAACCGCCGCGCGCCTCGGGGCGCACGGCGGGCAGAAAACCGCCGCGCGCCTCGGGGCGCACGGCGGGAAGAAAACCGCCGCGCGCCTCGGGGCGCACGGCGGGAAGGAAAACCGCCGCGCGCCTCGGGGCGCACGGCGGGAAGGGAAAGGTAGCAGCGGAAGCGAGGTGGTAACCCACCCACAGGATCGATCCAAAGGGATCGACCTGCTCTGATAGCATGACAAAAGTTAGAAGAAGAAAAAGGGATTGAACTAGCAAGAATGAGGATACAAATAGCAAACCCTAGAAGGGTTGTACTCGCTATAGAGCACCTCACTACAGGCTAGAACAATAAGATAATATTCTGATAGGGAGGTACGGGGAAGACCCCACCAAAACGTTCTTGGAGCGGTTGCAGTGGCAGTTCCCAGGGCACACGGCAGAAAGGATAAGGGAATTTCAAGAATTCAAGCGAGGAAGGGCTCAGACACTATTGGCGTACTACAATCGGCTGATCAACGTAGCTGAGGATGTGAGGTGCATGGATAGTAGCCTCCTGATCAGTAAGTTCCTGGGGGGCCTGGACGAGGCATTGGGAGGAGGGCTGCAGATGAAGGTCTTTGAGCTGGGCGCGGAGGCAAGACTGGAGGAGGTGTTCGCGCTAGCCGAAAGAGTGGAGCTCGTACAGAGGAAGTATGAGGCATATCTGCCCAGACAGATGGAGAGAGCCCGCACGCTGACCTGGGCGGCAGCTATGATACCAGAGGAACGAGGGAAGGTAGAGGAGCGAGGAGAGGCACGGGCAGAAACCAGGAGCTGCCACCGTTGTGGACAGCCAAGGCACCTCCGCAGAGATTGCAAGAACTGTGATGGGTGCGGGAAGCCGGGCCACCGCAAGCGAGAGTGTCCTGATGCCGCCAGGTGCGAGGTGTGCAAGAAGAAGGGGCACAAGGCCAAGGACTGCTATTAGAGGGAAGGAAGAGCCAGGAGGAGCCCGGAAGAGTTACAGCGACAAATCAGTAGGCTGCAGGCACAGCTCCAGGCAACGGGACCAAGATGGGGGGCAGAGGAGGGGATGTATGTGAGAGACAAGGAGGGAGAGGAGGTGGAGTAGGACGTGCAGTGCGCACTCATGGCATGGAGGGGAAGAGAGGAGGTGGGGCTGAGGAGCGGAGGGAAGGACGGCAGGTAGGAGCAGAGCAGGAAGGTCCGGGAGAAGGGGCAGAAACCAGAGGGTCCAGGGTTGGTTCCGTCGCCGGCACGCCATCCACAGGAGAGGCTGGCGTGTCAGGCCTCAATGTTGCTGCTGGAAGAGGGGGCTATGGAAGTGGAAGGAGAGAAGGTAAAGATTGCCATCATAGACACGGGGGCACAGAGCGTGATGCTAGACAAAGGGATGGCTGAGAGGCTGGGGCTCTTAGCTCCAGAAAGGCATGTGAAAAGGGGGATGTTGGTGATCACAGCAGAAGGGGGGAGACGAAGTGGATGCCCTGCTCTCGGGCACCCATAGAGGTGGCACTACTGCCAGGAGGGGAGCATGAAACCAAGATCAGAATGAAGTGCGGCATCTTTGAGTCCGAGGATTTTGACGTGCTAGTGGGCACAAAGCTGGTGTTTGCGGTGGGCATTGTCACATCATATGCAGTCAGTGCATATGTTATAACAGTAGAATGTAGGTGTAGTTATGATGCTGAGATAAGGAGTAAATGTGTATGAAAGCTTATACAGTGATACTAGCATAGGGGTGTAGAATGTAGCAATATGACTATTGTAGAGGAGTGTAGAAGGGGGGAACCGAATTGTAGCGGTTGGAATCATGGGGAAAAAGGGACGGAAGGGCGAATTGTGAAATCAGGGAACACCAATTCCGAGCCGCACATTTAGGAAATGTGCAGCTTGGGGCTGGGTAAGGTCCCTCACACCCACCCCTTCCTTGCCTTAGGCTTGTTATTCTCTCGAAGTAGTGGAATTTGTCATCTAAGCTCTAGCACACCGTGGCAGTCACTAAGAGAGGAACCTACGGGGTGAGGGAGCGAGCTCTTTCATAACAAGCCTAAGGACTGAACCGGCGCAAGTATGTATAAATACGAACTGCGTTGGGGTAGGATGTTTAGCCGTTGCGAGGAAGAACGGCCGCAAAGCGAGCCGTCATGCGAGCGAGGGCGATCGGTAGAGCAATCGCCACGTAGGCCAGCCTTCCGCGCAGATCGAGCTCCCTTAGCCCGTGACCGCCGAGAGGAAGCAGCGACGGGCGAGGGAGCAGGCAATGCGGACCGTGGCAGAGGCGGAGAGAGAGACGCGTGGCTGCGAGAGCAATCCCGCGGAATCGACGGGAGAGGCGGATCTCGCCGCGAGGAAGGGAGGTTCCGCTCCCCAGAGGGGCGAGGACGGCGCCGTGACGACCGCGGCCATTGGCAAGGCTTCGGGGAATTTCCCCGGGAACGAGAAGGAGATGCGCGCAGCGACGATCGCGCGGAGGGCGCACCGGACGGCGCGGCGCTAGTGGTGGAGGGAGCGCTGGACGCGGAAGCGGACGAGGAGGGCCAGGGGCTGCAGGACGAAAGCGCCAAGGAGGGAGATGACGACGAGGACCGGGCCGCGGAATTCGACGAGCACGCCAATGACGCGGAACACGCCGAACACGCACAGGCGGACGAGAACGCTGGCGCGAGCTAGGCGGAGGGATCTCACGGCCGCAAGGCCAGCAGTGGGGAAGAGCAGCGCGCCGAGGACGCGCTTCAGCAGGAGCGGATGGCCCAAGATGAGAGGGAGCGCGAGACGCGGAGACAAAGGCAGCGGGGCGCGGGAAGGGCGGAGCGGATCCACGCGCCAGAAAGAGAGCAGCAGCGCGGAGACGGGCGTGGAGGGGATTCCAGGGCGCATGACCGATGGGGAGAGCGGGGAGATTGGAGTGGCGGCGGCGGGCAGCCGCTGGAGCGGCAGCAGGCGCGCGGGAATCGGTGGGAGGATGAGCCGCGAGCTCCAGAGACATATGGGCGCCCAGGGAGGAGAGACCGGGCGGAGCAGTGGCCGCAGGAGCAGCGCTGGAGGCCACCAGTGGAGCGCGGCAGCGCAACGCACGGGCAAGAGTGGACCAGGCAGGGAGGGAGGAGGGACAACAGCGGGTCTCGTTCGCCAGAGGGGCGCCGCCAGAGAAGGGGCAAGGAGGAAGAAGACGGGCACTTGCCTGAGCACCGCCAACAGCGCAGTGGACGTGGGGAGGCCTGGTCGCCGTCGCCAGAGAGACGTAGGCACCGCGAGACGAGTAGAGGAGAGGGGCGGAGGATGTATGCCGACACAGCAATGGGCTCGGGCGAAGGAGTGAGGAGGGCCAAAGGAAGGGCGTCGTGCGGCGGAGTGGAGTCGGCTAGAGAGCGGGAGCCTGGTGTATGGCGTGGAGCGGGCACAGGAAGCCAGAGTAGGCATGTTGATGCAAGTAGGGAATCTGCGGTACCGCTGCGATAGGCACAATGTAGACCCCGTAGACTTTTTCCTGAGTTTACCCAACACGCTGGAGGGAGAGGCAGAAACGTTGTACCGCATGCGGATGGAGGAATTGCTATGGAGGGCAGGGAACTATGGGGAGGACCCCACCGAGGCGTTTCTGGAGCGGCTACAGCGGCAGTTCCCAGGGCATACGGCGGAGCGGATAAGGGAGTTCCAAGAGTTCCGGAGGGGACGGGCGGAGTCCCTGCTGACCTACTACAACAGGTTGATCAACGTGGCAGAGGACGTGAAGTGCGCGGACAACAGCCTACTCATTAGCAAGTTCCTGGGAGGCTTGGACGAGGCACTTGGGGGGGGGGGCTGAGGATGAGGGTATACGAGTTAGGGGCAGAGGCGGCTCTGGAGGAGGTGTTTGAGTTGGCCGAGAAGGTAGAGCTGGCGCAGCGGAAATATGAAGCCTACCTCCCGAAGCCGACAGAGAGAAGTCGCAGGCCAACATGGGCGACAGCCATGATGCCTGAGGAGAAGGGGAGGGCGGACCCGCGAGGGGAGATGCGGGCAGATACCCGCACGTGCCACCGCTGCGGGCAGGTGAGGCACCTCCGTAGGGACTGCAAGGTTTGTGATGGCTGTGGGAAGCTGGGGCACCGAAAGAGGGAATGTCCTGATGCAGCCCGGTGCAATATCTGTGGGAAGCAGGGGCATGATGCCAACGAGTGCTATCAGAAGGAAGGGGGAGTGAGGAGGAATCCAGAGGAGCTGCAAAGGCAGATCAGCAGGTAACAGTCTCGGCTGCAAGCCATGGGGCCTAGGTGGGAGGCCGAAGCAGGAATGTACGCCAGGGATGATGAAGGGGAGGAGGTGGAGACGGATGCTCAGTGTGCCCTGATGGCATGGAGGGGGAGAGAAGAGATGGGGCTGCGGAGCGGGGGACGGGATGGCAGGCAGGAGCACGGCAGGAAGGAGCGGGAACGAGGACACCAGCCTGACCCTGTGGTGCAGGAGAAACCTCCTGCCCGCCACCTGCAAGAGAGACTGGCATGTCAGACGTCGGTGCTACTAGTGGGGGCAGGAGCAATGGAGGTAGAAGGGAGGAAGGTGAAGACGGCCATCATTGATACAGGGGCACAAAGCGTGATGTTAGGCAAGGGAATGGCAGAACGGCTAGGACTGATGGGCCCGGAGAGGCAAGTGGCAAAGGGCATGTTGGTGATGATAGCAAAAGGGGGGGAGCCGAAGTGGATGCCATGCACACGGACACCCATAGAGCTGACCCTGCTGCCAGGAGGGGAGCAGGAAACCCGGATCATGATGAAATGCGGGATTTCAGAATCCGAAGACTTTGATGTTTTGGTAGGGACGGAGATGGTGTTTGTGGTGGGCATGAGCATTTGCACCTGGACAGAGAAGGTAGAATTCCGCACGAGGTACTGGAAGAAGGAGGGGCCCTTGGGGCAACTGCCAGTGCAATTCGTCAGGGTGGAGCCGAAAAGGGCATACCAGGCCCGTGCAAAAGAGGATGTGGGGAAGTAGCAGACAGGGGGAGAGGAACAGGTGGGGGCAGAGGAGATCAAGGAGGGCCTAGGATGAGGTTGATGGACGCCCCAGAGAAGCAGAGCGATTGGCAGCAGCCCATTCGCTTGGTGGAGCTGTTTGGCGGAACTGGGGTAGGGCTGGCAGCGGTGGTCCGGAATGGGATAGCGATGCAGCAGTGGATCTATGTAGAGCGAGCGCTAGAGGTGAGGAGGATGGTGGAGCATCATGCGTGGAGGCTGCAGGCCAAGTTCCCAGAGCTCCTGAGCGCGGCGGTAATTCAGGACGCCATGAGCAGCACCCTCCATGACGTGAGCCAGGTGACAGAGGCACAGGTGGCCAGCTGGGGGCAAGTGGATCTACTCGTAGCGGGATGGGAGTGTCAAGGGGTGTCATGGGCTAGAAAGGGGAAGGGAGGAGGAAGAAGCTGATGGAGAGTCTATTCCGCATTTTGGAGTGGCTGCAAGAGAGGCAGGGAAGGGTGGCGTACCTGCTAGAGAATCTGGACCTGGAAGGAGATTGCCGCGAGCCGATCCGGTTGGTGAGAGAGAGAATCAGCAAACAGTTGGGGAAGGGGGTCAGCTGTGACGCAGCTAGGATGGGGTCTTATGCACGTCGGCTCAGGATGTATTGGCAGAACGTCGTACCGGTGCTGCAACTGCAAGAAGAGGTGGAAGGGGTGAAGAGAGCGGCGGACAGAAGGGTGCAGGACATTTTGGAAACAGGGCAGACTCTTGCACCAGTGAGACAGAAGGGATACAGCAAACACTACCCGTGCAACCAGGTGGGGCGAGAGAGGAGAGCCCTGCCCACCTTGGTGTCGTATGTGGGGGCAGCCGGCTACAAGTGGGATGGGGGAAAGCCAGGGCCAGGACTGGTGTATGATCACAGACAGGGGCGGTGGGAGGAACCGACGGCGTTAGAGAGAGAGTTGGTCATGGGGTACGGGGAGAACGTAACAGCAGCCCCAGGGGTGAGTGAAGAGGAGAGGAGGAGGGCACTGGGGAACGCCATGGATGGGCATATGATGAGGTGGCTGGTTCAAAGGACGTGGAGGGAGACGGTCTTGAGCTGGGGGCATGAGGCCAAGGGAACGGATGCAGCAGCGGTCCCACAAGGAGCATGGGCATGCAGGGAGGAAGAGAGACCACAGTGGACGGTGGGAGAGGCGTTGAGTGAAGAGGGAAGTGGGGCAATGCAGGAGCTGCTGCACAAGCACAGGAAGTGTTTTGCCTTCACGCTGGAGGAGTTGGGACGGTGCAAAGTGAAGTAGATGGAGCTGAAACTGAATAGCACGGAGCCGGTGTTTCATCGCAGGAGGAAGATGCCGCACGGGGATGAGGAAATATGCAAAGAGAAGATTAAGGAGCTGCTGGAAGCAGGACTGATTAGACGCTCCGAATCTGAATACGCTACGCCAACAGTGGTGGCTGCGAGGAAGGACCTGACAGAAGAGGTACTGAGCAGGAGGATGTGTGGCGACTACAGAGCGCTCAACAAGATTACCATAGCCGACAGGTACCCGATGCCGATGGCGGAAGAAATCTTCGACAGGCTAGCAGAGAGGGTCTTCTTCACGACGCTGGACCTGTGGCAAGGGTTCAATCAAATCAAAATTAGAGAGGACATAAAGAAGACTGCGTTCCATGGGCCCGATGGGCTGTACGAGTGGCTGTACATGCCTTTTGGATTGAGGAATGCGTCAGCCGTGTTCCAGAGGGTTATGGATGCGGTGCTGCGAGATGTAGACTGCGCGGCCTGCTACATAGATGATGATGGTGTGCAAGGGGAGGAGAAGGTGGTGGCCTATGCAAGCAGGAGCTGCAACTCGGCATAGGTGCAACACAGATTGTACATAGGGGAGGGGCTGGCGGCAGTATGGGCGGTGGGGCATTTCAGAGTGTACCTGCAGGGACGGGAGTTCACCTTGGTGACGGATCACCAACCACTAACATGGCTGATGACTATGCCGGGACTGACAGGCAGGAACGCATGGTGGGCAATGAAGCTGCAAGAATACGATTTCAAGATCAAACATCGGCCAGGAAAGACTCTACAGCATGTGGATGGCCTCTCCCGAAACCCCCCACAGCTGGAACCGAGCGTAACCTTAACACTGCTGGCCAGGCAGGTAGAAGTGAGTGGGGCCAAAGGGGGGAAGGGGCCAGCAGATATTTGGGAAGATGGGCAGGCCATGCGGTGGGTAAACGGGGAGACAGGGGAGGATGAGGAGATGACGGAGAGAGTGACGGTGAGGGGGCACCACTACAGGTGGTATCACCAGCAGTTACAGATACAAACCGAGGATGGATGAAAGTTGGTGCCAACACCTAATGACTGAGAAGCAGTGATCAAGGAGGTGCACACGAAACTGGGGCATTTAGGACATGAGAGGACGGTGCAGTTGCTGAAGACAGAGTGGTGGTGGGAGGGGATGCGGAGGCAAGTGAAGGGCTGGGTGGAGGGCTGTGAGGCATGCCAGAGGAGCAGGGCAAATCTCAGCCAGGCCAAGGCCGAACTACAGTCCCTGCCCATCCGAAGCTTAGGCTTCAGGTGGTCCTTGGACCTGGCCGGGGAATTGCCTCTGAGTCGGGGGGGTAAGCAACACATCGTGCTCATAGTGGAGCACGTAAGCAAGTGGCTAGAGGTGAGGGCAATACCGAGCAAGAGCTCAAGGCAGGTGGCAGCGGCATTCAAGGAGCAGGTAATCTGCAGATTTGGGGCACGTGCAAAAGTCCTCACAGATCAAGGAACCGAGTTCCAGGGAGACTTCAAGGCGCTGCTGGAAGAGACGGGGATCACTCACTGACGCACCTCCCGCTACCACCCACAGAGCAATGGGTTGACAGAGCGCCTAGTACAGACCTTGAAGCGGGGACTTCGGGCATACAGGGAGAAGAGGAAGCGGGACTGGGATGAGGAGCTGCATTGGATTGCAGCAGGGTACAGGTTTGGGAAACAGGCAGCCTTGAGAGACCACTCCCCATACAGCCTCCTCTATAGATGTGAGCTGTTGCTGCCAGTGGGAGCAACCCGGGTCCTCACAGACACAGTGACCGCAGGCACCATAGACAATTGGGTGGCGCTGTTGGAAGCCAGAGCAAGGTACATGCGGGTGATGATGTCGGCTGCATTAGAGAACCTCCACACTGCACAGCCGAGAGACGCCAGTAGCTATGAACAGAGGCAGCAGCAAGGGGGAGACAGGAGAGCACAGAAGGACGTGGGGCTGGGGCAAGAAGTGTACCTAAGGAAGGCAAAGCAAGATACCCTGGACGTTGGGGTGGGAACGGAAAGGTGGCAGGTGAAGGAAGTACGCCCCTCGGGGATACTAGTGCTGGAGAACGAGAAGGAGGCCCAACTGAAGGAACATCAGACCAACGCGGCCGTGGTGAGGGGCAGTAAGCCTCAGCAGGGTGGTCCTGTGACACGAGCTCAAGCTGCTCGAGCATCGGCACAAGAGGGGGTAGGGAATGATTGAGGCAGAGCACAACAAGGAAGGAAGCATGAGGGAGACAAGGGGGAAGGAGAGCAGAGACTGCAAGGAACCAAGTCTTATGGGCAGAGACAGTAAGTTGGAGAGCAAGGGAGGAAGGAGGAAGCAAGCAAGAAGAAGAGCAGGTACTGAAGAGGAGGTCCCCGACACCAACCGGCCTGTTGGTCCAGTGGGCCGGTTTGACCAATCTGCCTGTTGGCTTGTTGGTTCGGTTGGATCAACCGGCCTGTTGGCCCGATGGACTGGTTGGATCAGCCGGACTGTTAGACCGATGGACCTGTTGGACCAACCGGCCTGTTGGCCCAATGGACCGGTTGGACCAACCGGCCATTTTGCCTGATAGACCGCTTATCAGCTGGGTTGTTGGTCGGATGGACCGGTTGGACCAGCCGGGCTGTTGGTCTAATGGAACAGTTGGACCAACCAGGCTGATGGCCCGATGGACCAGGTGGACCAACCGACCTGTTGGCCCGATGGACCAACCGGCCTGTTGGCCCGATGGACCAATGGACCAGCTAACCTGTTGGCCCGATGGACAGGTGGACCAACTGGCCTGTTGGCTTGATCGAGCGGTTGGACCAACTGGCCTGTTTTCCAATGGACTGGTTGGACCTGCTAGCCTGTTGGTCCAAAGGACCGGTTGGAACAGCTTTCCTGTTGGTCCTATGGACCGGTTGGACCAACTGGGCTGTTGGCCCGATGGACCAGGTTGACAAACCGGTTGGATCAGCTGGCTTGTTAATCGGATGGACTAGTTTGACCAGCCGCCTTGTTCGTCTAGTGGACCGATTGGACCAACTGGTCCATTGGTCCAATGGACTGGTTAACCCGACCAGTTGGACTAGCTGACTTGGTCTGATGGACCGGTTGGACTAGCTGGCATGTTGTTCCGATAGACCAATTGGACCAGCTGGGCTGTTATTTCGATGGACTGGTTGGACCAGCTGGGCTGTTGACCCGGTGAACCAGTTGGACTAGCTGGCCTGTTGGTCTGATAGACCGATTGGACCAACTCGTCTGTTGGTCTAATGGACCGGTTTGACCAGCTGGCATGTTGGTCCGATGGACTGGTTGGACCTGGTGTCACGTTGGTCCGATATACCGGTTCGACTAGCTTGGTTGTTGGTCCGATGGACCGATTGGACCAGCTGGTATGTTGGCCGATGGACCGGTTGGACCAGCTGGGCTGTTGATGGACCGAGCTGGGCTGTTGGACCAGGCTATTGGCCGAATGGACCGGTCGGACCAACAAGGTTGTTGGCCCAATAAACCGAGTGGACCAACCGGGCTATTCGCTCGATGGACCGGTTGGACCAGCCGACCTGTTGGCCCAATGGACCGGTTGGACCAGCTGGCCCGATGGATTGGTTCGACCAACCAGCCTGTTGGCCCGATGGATTGGTTGGACCAACCAACTTGTTGGCCTGATGGACCGGTTGGACCAGCTGGCCCGTTAGTCCGATGGACCGGTTGGACCAGCTGGCCTATTGGCCCGATGGACCGATAGGACTACCTGGGCTGTTGGTCCGATGGAACGGTTGGACCAGCTGGCTTGTTGGCCCGATGGGCCAGTTTGACCACCCGGCGTGTTGGCCCGATGGACCGGTTGGACCAGCTGAGCTGGTGGTCCGACGGTGTTGGACTAACCGGGTTGTTCGCCCAATAGACCGGTTTGACCAACTGGACTATTGGCCCGATGGACCAGTTGGACCAGCTGGCTTGTTGGCCTAATGACCGGTTGGACCAACTCTCTTGTTGGTCTGATGGACCGATTGGACCAACTGGCCTGTTGGTCTAATGTAGCGGATGGACGAGCTGGCATGTTGGTCCGATGGACCGGTTGGACCAGCTAGCATGTTGGTCCGATGGACCGATTCGACTAGCTGGGCTGTTGGTCTGATGGACCGGTTGGACTAGCTGGCCTGTTGCCCCGATGGACCGGTTGGACCAGCTGGGTTGTTGGTACGTCAGACCGTTTGGACCAACCAGGCTGTTGGCCGGATGGACCGATCGGTCCAACTGGGTTGTTGGCCCAATGGATCGTTCGGACCAACCGGGCTGTTGGCCTGATGGACCAGCCGATGGGCCGGTTTGTCCTGGTGGGCTGTTGGTCCGACGGACCGGTTGAATCAACTGGGCTGTTGGTCAACACTTCCGCTGCAACAAACTATCCACTATCAACCCTGAGACGATCCCTGGCTAACTCCTCTTTCGGATTGTAACAAATCTGCTATACCGGTAACTTGATTGGTCAGACAAGGTTTTTAGAAATTTCTGATTCCTCAGGCACGTAAAAGACAAAATATCTGATGCATCAAGGGGGTTCAAATCCTAGCGAGGACCCTGACAGCGGACATTTTCACCAATGCCCTTCCGCCTGGTGACCATCACAGGTATGGTACTATTCCTTGCTTGGCCTTCTTCAGGCAGGCCCTCGTTTACTGTAGGCTTGTTCCTTGTTTCTTATACTGTTTGTATTGCTATCTACATATAAATCTATACTCTTGGACCGGCCTTGTGGCCATTTGTCTCGGAGGCTGGACCACCGTAATACCCCGGATATAAGGGCATATGCGCTTATAATAAAACAGTGTTTTTTAGGGGGGTGCGCTTATAAATGAGTTTAAATTATAAGCGCATGCGCTTATATAAAGACAAACACAGAAATATGTTATAAACACACCAAACTGTGCATTAGAGTCTTACAATTTCATTCAAATCGAAATATGTGGAGCGTTCTGAATCAGAATCGCACGAGGGCGATTCTCTGCTAGCGCACAAGGGCAAGGACACGTCACTTTCGCATAGGAATGTGTCATGCTCACCCCAGCAGAGTGTACGAACCAATAGCTTTCAGTCGCTCGTTCGCATCGCACAGGTTTGCCCCAGTGTACGACCAATAGCTTGCAGTGGCTCGCTCGCAGCGCACAGACAACAACAGGTGTTCCCGAGCCCCCCTGTCAGGTCAACTTCGCGCCGTTGCGCTTTTCCTGAGCAAGCCCGCACTCGAGGGAGTCGAACAGAGTAGAAGTGGATGTGGACTCGCTTCAAAACGGGAAGTCGTTACTGTTTTAATCCATTTTTTTAACATGTTTATATATGCGCTTATAATAAATCAGGGTTTTATAAGGGGTGCGCTCATAATTGAGGATCGGCCATAAACGCATTGCTCCAGATATAAGCGAATGCGCTTAACATAGGCATGCGCTTATATCCGGGGTGATACGGTGGTTGTGCCACCCTGAGTTGCATTGCTTCTCTTGTTGTGTTGCTTTTGCTTGGATTGCTGAGTTTGCTGACCGGCGTTGTCACCATTTGTTCTAATGGTTGGACTACTTGAGCCACCCATTTGTCTTATTCGAGCGATGCTCCTCAGCCTGTGGGGGTGTGTCACATATTAGCAAGTTTGTTAGTCTACAGCGAGGTGCATTGTATAGGGTACAACACTTTCTAGGGATTGCCCTATGTATCCTAGCCACACATCATTCCGCTATGCTATCATGACTAAGGGTTCCATATCACATCTGGAATTTGCCACTCTCATGCGCACATTTTCCCAGCATGTACAGGATGCTCTGAATTCCATATCAGGCCCCAATAGAGTATAGACATCAATGCACAGCGCAAGCATGGCACTTGGGTTCATGCAACAGTGATTGCTGTGAGCTCATTCAGTCCGTGGTACTCACTGCCTTCAAGATGGCAGGCAGAGGCAGGCAGAGGCAGTCAGCGGCGGCGCCATGCGGCGATGGTCAGAGCAGCCACACCTACGCCCCCCACAGCCATGCTGGCCAGCAAGCAGCGCCACGCAAGCGGCGAGAACAAGGGCGTGGGGGGGGCAGGCATGCGCAGCAGCGCTGCCACCTGCAGGTTCACGGGACGCAGGGAGAGGGCGAGGGGGTCCTCACGTACACTAGTGAGTGCGTGCATGCGGGTGCGTGCCTGTGTGCGTATGTGTATGGGTGTGGTGTGGGTGCGGGTGCGTGCGTGCGCGGGCGCTCACGAGTGTGCGCACCTGCGTGTGTGTGTTTGTCTCACTAACGCTGTCGGTGCGCTCACATCAATGTCGGTGCGCTCACATCAATGTCGGTGCGCTCACATCGATGTCGGTGCGCTCACATCGATGTCGGTGCGCTCACATCGATGTCGGTGCGCTCACATCGATGTCGGTGCGCTCACATCGATGTCGGTGCGCTCACATCGATGTCGGTGCGCTCACATCGATGTGGGTGCGCTCACATCGATGTGGGTGCGCTCACATCGATGTGGGTGCGCTCACATCAATGTCAGTGCGCTCACATCGATGTCGGTGCGCTCACATCGATGTCGGTGCGCTCACATCGATGTCGGTGCGCTCACATCGATGTCGGTGCGCTCACATCAATGTCGGTGCGCTCACATCAATGTCGGCTCGCTCACATCAATGTCAGTTCGCTCACATCAATGTCGGTGCGCTCACATCAATGTCGGTGCGCTCACATCAATGTCGGTGCGCTCACATCAATGTCGGTGCGCTCACATCAATGTCGGTTCGCTCACATCAATGTCAGTTCGCTCACATCAATGTCGGTTCGCTCACATCAATGTCGGTGCGCTCACATCAATGTCGGTGCGCTCACATCAATGTCGGTGCGCTCACATCAATGTCGGTGCGCTCACATCAATGTCGGTGCGCTCACATCAATGTCGGTGCGCTCACATCAATGTCGGTGCGCTCACATCAATGTTGGTGCACTCACATCGATGTCGGTGCGCTCACATCAATGTTGGTGCACTCACATCAATGTCGGTGCGCGTCCAGTGGGCGGTGATGCCCGCCACGTGCCCCTTGCCCACCACCGCCACCACGCGCGAGCTCCTCTTGGCCACGTGCCGCAGCATGCACGCCATGTACCTGACAGGGAGGGGAGGGGGATATGGGTGGGAGGGTGCGGTTGGTACTGACAGGTGATGGAAAGAGAGTGTAGGGGCCTGAACAGACCCCCACCCCCTCCTGCCCATAATATCAAGCGAGCTCGCAACCTGGCACCCACCCTGCCCCCAACCTGGCACCTACCCTGCCCCCAACATGGCACCCACTCTGCCCCCAACCTGCCACCCACCCTGCCCACAACCTGCCACCGACCCTGCCCCCAACCTGGCACCCACCCTGCCCCCAACCTGCCACCCACCCTGCCCACAACCTGCCACGGACCCTGCCCCCAACCTGGCACCCACCCTGCCCCCAACCTGGCACCCACCCTGCCCCCAACCTGCCACCTACCCTGCCCCCAACCTGCCACCCACCCTGCCCCCAACCTGCCACCCACCCTGCTCCCAAACTGCCACCCACCCTGCCCCCAACCTGCCACCCACCCTGCCCTCAACCTGGCACCAACCCGCCTGTATCCAGAAAATGTGGCCTGGACTGCTACAGCCAGCTCACCTTCTCTGGAAGTTCCGACCAAACCCCAACCACCCCCATTGCCTTGCTTGCATTCACCACATTACCTACATTTGCTGTACCAGGTTGAATAAATGACAAAGAGCGTTGAAGCGAGAGAGAATGGAAGGGAGGGGGGCGTAGAGGTCGCGCTCCCCAGTCCTCATTCCCTTACAGGTCGCGCTCGTGGATGAGGGTGTGCAGCAGTGAGGGGAAGGCACGGCCCATCTCCGCCACGGCGAGTGACAGCAGGTCCGATGACTTGAGCTCCTCCACCTGCCGTGGGGGGTTGGGGGGTGGGAGACAGGTGGGAAGGGTGAGAAGGGGTTGTAAAATTCCACTACTATAGAAACTTGATAGAGCTCGGAAGCACGACTCTAACGCACCAAAGATTGCAGGAAACGCTTAACTACAGCCAAACATACACGGAAGCATAGCACTGATAGTTACTTAGTTGATTTCTAGTTTGTGCTCTCTCGTCTTATACTAGAACGCAGCACGACAACAAAGCACGCAAGAAAGGGTCGACACTTTGCCAACGAGCTTCAATCCGAACGCGACCTGAAACCGGTCTCACCAAACTGTCCCCAAACTGTCCTGAAATGACTCTATTAGGACACTTGAATCAAAAAGTCTCCAGTTCGAAACTCGCGTGCACCATAACCAGCACAAACTATCCAAAATCTGTCCTGTGACACTTTCAGGACAGATTGAAGGTCATGGGTTCGATTTCCAGCGCCAGCATTTTGTTGCTCATGGCAGCATTTCCTTCTAACAGGGGCGGCATGCATGAGTGTGGGCAGAGCAGGCACGTGGCATGGCTGTGAGGCGTGGCATGGGGGAGGTGAGGCAGGGGTAGCGGGAACAGGTGTGAGAGCTTAAGCAGAGGGCGGACAGGAGGGACGGCAGCAACCTAACAAGCCGAATCCCTAGTGCGCTGGTTGACTGAGTTGACTCACGAGGTGGTCGAGCTCAGCCTTGGAGGGCAGCCAGAGCGCCTGCAGCAGCAGCATTGCCACCAGCTTCACTCGGTGCCAGCGGCTCATCATGGCCCACGTGCGCCTCAGCGTCACCTGCCACGCCACGCCACGCCACGCCACGCCACGCCACGCCACACCTTACCACACCACACGCCACACCATGCCATGCCATGCCATGTCATGCCATGCACGCCAGGTAGAGGAGAGGGAGGAGGGGGAGGGGGAGGAGGGGGGATAGAGGGGCGTTGAAGGGCAAGTGGCGTCGTGGTGAATGGCTGCCAACAACTCGTTGCCTTCCACTTGGGCATGCAGCCGCCCCTCACACGCCCCCACCTCCCCACCTGCACGCCCCACCTCCCCACCTGCACGCCCCACCTCCCCACCTGCACGGCCCACCTTCCCACCTGCACGCCCCACCTCCCCACCTGCACGGCCCACCTCCCCACCTGCACGGCCCACCTCCCCACCTGCACGCCCCACCTCCCCACCTGCACGGCCCACCTTCCCACCTGCACGCCCCACCTTCCCACCTGCACGCCCCACCTCCCCACCTGCACGCCCCACCTCCCCACCTGCACGGCCCACCTCCCCACCTGCACGCCCCACCTCCCCACCTGCACGCCCCACCTCCCCACCTGCACGGCCCACCTCCCCACCTGCACACCCCCCCTCCCCACCTGCACGCCCCACCTCCCCACCTGCACACTCCCCCTCCCCACCTGCTCCCCCCCCCCCTCCCCTCCTGCACACCCCCCCTCCCCACCTGCTCGCCCCCCCCTCCCCTCCTGCACACCCCCCCTCCCCACCTGCTCGCCCCCCCCTCCCCACTTGCACAACCCCCCTCCCCACCTGCTCGCCCCCCCCTCCCCTCCTGCACACCCCCCCTCCTCACCTGCTCGCCCCCCCCTCCCCACCTGCACACCCCCCTCCCCACCTGCTCGCCCCCCCCTCCCCTCCTGCACGCTCCCCTCTTTCCAAACCCACCTGCACGCTTCCCCTGCAAGCAACAACCCCAAGCACCCCCACCCACCTGCACGGGGCGGTCGCCGAGTTTGACGACAGCGCCACACGCCACGGCCTCCTCGTACGCCGCTCGGAACTCCGCCCCGGGACACACCTCCATGCGCGCCGCCACCTGCCGGGGGGAGGGGGGAGAAACGCGCTCTGAGTCTGAAAGAGGGCGGGGCACGTTACCATGGCAGCGAGCGAGCGAGGGGGGCTGAAAGGGATGTGAGAGGCAAAGTGGTTGTGCAGCGGATATGACCATTCGTGTGTTGTGCCTTGCTTCTCGACCGTGGACAGGCGGGGTCAATACAAGAGAGATCCTCGGGCTTTGGAGCTCATATTACAGCTCCAGCTCCCCCCTTGCTGTACTCCATTCCATTCCACCGCTTACCTTGCCAGTCCGTATCAACAGGGGACACTCAACATCCTACAACTTCTAAGCTGTGCTCGCGGGAAGCTTTCGAATTTGGCATTTGGAGCCGTGTGCACATTGTGTGAGGGTACCTTGGCGAGCAGGTAGCCGTAGAGCAGCGCGAAGGAGTTGGACTTGTTGCTGCGCCACACCGCCATGAGCTCCGCCAGTGATGGCAGCTGGTGGCGCCAAGGGAGGGGTGGAAAGGAAACAATGAAGCAGATGAGGGCACGGTTGCGTGCATGCATGCTGCGGGAAGAGACTTGCCCACTCCATCACATTCTCATGTGCAACAGCCAAGCCACCCGTCCAACACAACAGACTTTGTTTTATGACAAGAGCTCGAGCAGAGGAAGGATAGATGGGTGCATGGTGGCAGGGAGGGGTACCTGCAGGTGGTCCATGGGCATGAGCATGGCGACTCACCTGCAGGTGGTCCATGGGCATGAGCATGGCGACTCACCTGCAGGTGGTCCATGGGCATAAGCATGGCGACTCACCTGCAGGTGGTCCATGGGCATGAGCATGGCGACTCACCTGCAGGTGGTCCATGGGCATGAGCATGGCGACGCGGTCGGAGCACACCTCCAGGAACACCACCTGATGCACGCAGCGGTCAGGGGAGGGAAATATCAAGCAGTGGGATAGCGCGGTGGCGGGTGAAAAAAGGAGGCAGACCCCGGTGCACACATGCTCGCATGCATGCGCTACAATGCATGGTTGCAATGCATATGCCAAGCCATTTCTGGACTTCCAGTCAAGGTGGGAAGAAGGCAAGGCATGGGAGTGCGAGGCAGTGCATGGGGGTAGTGGTGAGGGCAGGCATGGGGGTAGTGGTGAGGGCAGGCATGGGATGCGGCAAACAGCCGCGATTACAAGACTGAAAGCGCCCACTTACATCCGGTTTGACTTGGCGAATGATTCGGCGCACCTCGTTGCACGACTCCTGCACGCACCCATGCACTCACTCACACATCACACGGACGTCAAGGTTTCAATGAATGAGATGGAAGCTGAGCATGCAGGGCGCCCTTAGAACGGCCTGTTGCCGTCAAGGCACGAGATTGGACCACAATGAATGCACAAGCACCACTCCAGAGCTTGAATCACAGCACCTCCTAATATTTCTGGGGCAACCCAAACATGGGGGCATACCTTGGAGACGTGCGCCGTGCCAATGAGGTGCACCGTGCACTCCGCTGCTGCGCCACCCGCATGGCCGCCACTGCCACCACCATCACCATTGTCACTGCCACCAGCGCCGCCAGCAGCTTCATCGCCCTGCTGCCGCTGCTGCCGGCCCACCTGCGGGCACGTCAGCACCACCACGTTGCTGCCCCCTCCTGCCCGCGCCCCTCCCCTCTCCCCATTCGCTTGCCCGTCCCCATCCCCTGCCGCAGCTGCTCGCGCCACCGCGTCACCCGCCCAGCCCCCTGCCCCTCGTGCTGCTCCCGCCCCCTGCCCCCATGCTCCCCCCGCCAAGCGCGCCCTCAGCTCCGCCACGCGCCCCCCTCCGCCTCCACCCGCCCTTGCCTGCCCGCCAGGCGCACTGCCCTCTGCGGCCCCTCTCCCCACCCACCCTCCCCCACCTGCTGCCCCTCGCGCCCCCACCCCTGCCCCCAACCCTGCACCCTGCTGCCTCTGCCACTCCCCACCCACCCCCCCTGCACGCTGCTTGCCGCCCCCTCCCCCTCCCCCTCCCTCTCCCTCTCGCTCTCCCTCTCCCTGCGCCTGCTGCTGCCGTGGTGTACCGTGTCCCTGGCTGTCACGCGCGTTGCCATCACCATCCCCATCGCTGTCAGCAGCACCACCATCAGCAGCAGCGCCGCCGTGCTCCCAGCGCTGCCTGAGGGACGCGAAGCGAGACGGCGTGCGTGCAGCGGAGCGGGCCGGCTGGGCCAAGGGGGCACGCGGGCAGTGGAGGGGTGCAGCACACACGGGGGGTGGGGAGAGGAGAGGAGCAGGAGGAGATGAGGGGGCATGGCGACGTTCAGGGGTGGGGAATGGCAGCATGTCACCCATACACCCGTCACGCTTCACACTACTGGAGAGCAGCCTCGTGCACAAGCCCACCTGCTGAGACTCGTCACATGGCACGGCAGCACCATCAGCTGCCAAGCGCCCTGCTGTCGCGTCGCTGCTCCCTCCCTGCCGCAACTCCACGCTGCTGCACTCCGCCATGCCACTCGCTGCCTCCACAGCTGCACCCGCACTGCCACGCCCATCACTGCCTGTATCAACACCACCACCACCAGCACCAGCACCAGCACCAGCAGCAGCAGCAGCAGCGCTGCTCTCACACGGCGCCACCACCCCTGTAGGCAGCCCCCCCACGGCCCCATGGACCCCGTCCGCCTCCGTCTGCCCCTCCGCGCGCCCCTCGCTTTGCCCCACGCCCCAGAAGTCATCGTCCGACTCCCCCGACGACCCGCTCGCCCCGCGCGCGCCCGCCCGCCTCTGCTGCGCCCTGCGCCGCCGCCGGCTGCTCCTCGCCTCCGCGCTGCGCCACGCCCCCCGCGGGGACGCCGCTGATGGCCCCCCTGCCGCTGCCGCCACTGCTGCTGCTGCGGGTGCCTTGGGATGGCGGCGCTTGGGCCTCGTCTCTGCTGCTGCCGCCACTGCCGCGCACAGCCATGGGCAACACGCGCGTTGTGCGTGGCAGGGGAAGGCGGTGAGGACGGAAGGAGCGGCAAGTGCGCAGCAGGAACAACGCAGTGAGCACAACAAGCACGGCAAGCAGCAACCCATGCTCACCTGACAAGGCACCTGCGGGGAGAGGTGAGCCGTCCACATGCGCGGTGGGCCGCCATGCTCCCGCGCTGTCCATGGCATCGCCACTGGCGCTGCCAGTGTCCGCCGCACGGACAGCTGCTTCTGCTGCTGCTGCCACGGCGGCAGAGGCAGCGAGGGCGGAGGGGGACACATCTGAGGGGGAGCTGCCGGGCGACCACAGCTGCAGCACGCCCTTCTGCCCCACCATCACGCCCTTCTGCCCCACCATCACGCCCTTCTGCCCCACCATCACGCCCGGCCTAGCATCAGCCCCTGCCGCGGGTAAGGCGGGTGCCTGCACAAGCTCGCGGTCCTGCGCGCTGCTGTCCGGCGCATGGCCGCGCACGCGGAAGCTGGGGTAGCGCCTCTGCAGCCCCGCTGCACCCGCCTCGCCACTCGCCTCGCCGCCCACCTGCTCCCGCTCACCCCCACTCGCCCCGCTGCCTTCTTGCACCGCCTCTATCACCGCGGGCTGCACTGAACCTGCCTGCACCGCCTCCGCTGCCGCGCCCTCCGCCTGCCGCGTCTCCGCCGGGTGAGGGCAAGCAGCCTCCGCGTGCTCCTCCGCGCGCCCTTCCGCGCGGCCCTCCCCACCACTCGCGGGGGATCGCACGTCCGCCCCCACGCCCCTTCCCGCCGCAGCACCGCTGCTGCTCATGTCGCCGTCGCACGCGTCCCACGCGCTGCTGCTGCTGCTGCGCGCCACGCCGGCATCACTCGTACCTCTGGCCGCGCTGGCAGCAGCGACATGGTCGTCACTGCCGCGGCTACTGAGAGCCTCGTCGCCCCAACCTTCTCCCGCCGCTGCTCCCACCCCAACCGCACCGCCACCTCGCGCACCTTGTGTGACGTCAGCAGCAGCAGCGTCGCCAGCGTCGTCGTCCGCAGCACCGGCGACGGACACGTCTGACTGGCGGCGCCCCTCGGGGCTGTCCCACTCGCCGTCCAGCCGCCCCAAGTCGCCATACAGCGCGAAGCCCTCGCCGCCCAACCCGGAATTGCCGGGCAACGGCGAGAGAAGCGGGGAGAAGAGCGGCGACGCGGCACCGCCCGAGGAGTCGAGCGGCAGAGCGACGGACCACCACGGAATGTCGCTGTTCGCGTCGCCAAGCGACGAAAGATCGCCTGACGACGACGGCTTGGCGAGCGACGCCAGCGGCGGCACGGCAGACCCGTCGGCGGCGCGCGGGCTGGCGGCTTCCGGGGTTCCCGCGACGGGGCTCATCGCGGCGTCCATCAGATCGCGCATCGAGCCGCGGCTGCGGATGGGTGTCCTGCTCCCATTGGCCAGTCCCCACCTGCCAGTGGGTGGGCGCGAGAAGGAGCGGCTGGCGGCGGCCCACTTGGTGGCGTCCGGCGCCGCCTTGCCGGGCCGCCGCCTGGCCTCGCCGCCGTCCGCGTAGGAGGTCGGCATCGCCCGCACGTGCGACGACCACTGCGCGCGCTCCGGGTGGAAACACGAAAGCGAGTGACGCGTTGGTTGAGAGGCTCGCGGATTGGTGCGAAGGGGAAGCAGACGAACGGTAGAGTAATGGGGGATTGAAGGGAAAGGATGCAGTGACGTATGGAGCGCAGTCGCGAGAGGAGCTTCGCAGTTGTCGCATCCAGTGTGCTAGGTTGGGAGGATGTGATGTGAGCAGGCAGGCGAGATGAATGCACACAACTGGACTGCTCCGACTCAGGAGTGGTGTGGTGAACCAAGAGACGAATTCTGGGAAGACTGGGGCAAGAGCGCAGGACAGGACGAGATTGAAGAGGAGGTGCAGCTTGATTGAGCCTACTTCTCGTTTTCTCAGAAAAAGGACTAAAGTAGGGCAAAACAAATTCAAGCGTTCCCTCATAATATCAGACATTTGAAGTACGGGCAAATCAAGGAGTTCTTCATTTGGCTAAAAACCAGTCGAAGGTTGGCTGTGCTGGCGGAAGTCTGGCGAAATGTCAGTAAACTTTATTCGGAGCTTCAGTGATTGCCCCTTGCCATTACGAAAAACATCCAAAAAGAGTCTGGAGCATCCCCAAGACAGCCAATGAAAAGCCGACTTGCAGCACCGAACTTCCCAATTGCACCCTTACATTCTGGATGTGACCCGAACGCCATACCCTGGAAAACATTTCCCGCTCAAACAAGGCAAGTCGTCCGCTCACTTCGAAAAAAACGATTCACATTAGATAATGACCAAACAAGAGTGTACACAATGACATACAGCTGGTCTGATATATTAGAGAGTAAAGAAAACAACAAATCACTCCGCTGAATAAATCGTCGTACAAGTGAGATGCTCAGCATCACCTTAGAGAACTTATGCTATCAAAACGAACTCAAATAACGAGTTTAGGTACATGTGTGTCAAGGCATTCAGGTACACCGGCCTCCTCAAACACATCCTTCCAGTCATTAAAAGACTGGTGCAGCGACTTTGAACGCATATATGAAACCATGGAGCAAGCCTCCTTTCCTAACACGATGCAAGCATGACACATTCCACACCCCTCTCCCGTGTTTCAATCCGCCTTTTTAATAAAAACATGTGTAGACAACTCACGAGAGTTAGGAGACAAGGAGGGCGACGGTCTTATGACATGGCGAATGCCAGAAGGCAGATGATATCATTGGGTAGCATGGCATGGGATGGTCATAAGGAGATGGCACACCTGCGGGTGAATCAGACTGCAAGCAACATTTCATGACGCACATGCATTGGATGCCTGGCAGGTACTCTCAAGATAAGAAGCAAGAATGACTACATTGAAAGGATTGTGGGTACAAGTACTAACCCTAACATTGGGTTGTACCCCACCTCAGACAGGCTAACCCACTATAGCCTACACACAACTAGCACATATATAGTTTGACACACCCCCATAGGGAAACTGGGGGAGAACAAGAGGTCATAAGACTAGTCAAGGAGAGCAAAGCAAGCATAGGGTGGATCACAACGTCACCATACACTCCGAACACAAGCAAAGAGCCACAAGGCTAGTTCAAATGCAGATGTATATATGCAACAACAACAGTACATTGATCATTACCTCGTAGGAGTAGGGATGCAGGTATATAATATAGATCACAGTACAAGTAAAGCTAAGAGGTGAGAAAGTGAGGCCAAGTAGGCACAAGTCCTAGCACAGTACTGAACCGCTGATGATCACAAGGCTGAAGTGCCTTGGTGAAGATATCAGCGGTGTTGGCCCGAGAGGCAACGTAAGCAAGACGAAGCTGTCCACGCTGCTGCAACTCTCGAGCAAGGAAGTAACGCAGAGCGATGTGCTTCGTCCTGTGCTCCAGTCTGTGCTCCTAACACAAGGCAATCATGGCCTTGTTGTCGACGTATGGAACTGGAGGAGAACGAGGCGGCTCTCCAAGCTGGTCAGAAGGTAGGTGAGCCAGCGTAACTCCTGTGCAGCCATGGCCCCCGCGTAGATCTCAGCCCCACAATTGGAACTGAGAACAGAAGATGAACGGATAGGCCGCCAAGAGACAGAGCCGGAGCCAAGACTGAAGGTGTAACCCTGTGACGACCGCTGCGTAGCCAAGTCGTCAACCCAAGAAGCGTCTGCGTGGCCAGTGAGGACAACTCGAGTCCGACCTCCAAGCACGAGCCCCATGTCCGACGTAGTGCACAAGTTGCGCATCACCCTCTTAGCGTCCTCCCAGTGCTCTGGTCGGTGTCTCCCGGGCGCAACGTAGCGTGCAAGGCTGCTAAGAGGGTAAGCAAGGTCAGGACGAGTGTAGGTCATCAGGTACATGAGGCAGCCCACAAGCTCTGGATACGGGCCACTCGGCTCTACGGACTCATCCGAAGGAAGAGCTGAGAGCGAGTGATCGGTAGGCAGAGGAGTGGACTGTGGCGAGGAGTACGTGAAGCGGAAGCGCTGAAGGACCTGCTGCACCATGTGTGAGTGAGTCATAATAATGGTGCGCCGTTCTCTGTCCTGGGTGATCTGCAAGCCAAGATAGCTGCGCAACTCTCTGTCAAACATTATATATGTTGTTGTGCTTGTTTAGGCTACAGTGGGTTAGCCTATAGGGGGTACACAATTCTAGGGTTAGGTACTTGTACTGTTTTCACTGCTAGTTCATCCATTCCTGTTCGTTCATTTCAACATGGTATAGAGCAGCTCCTTCCTAGGACCGTTTTTTTAGGGCCCACCACTACCTACCTACCTACCTGCGCCCTAGGGCGCCTCGGTTTTCACGGCCCTCTAAGGCCCCGCGACCCGCTCCTTAGCGACCTGTGAGCCGCCCCTAGAGGCCCCGATCGGCCCCGCGCTCACCTCCCTAGAGGCCCCTTACGGCCCCGTCGGCCCCGCGCTCACCTCCCTAGAGGCCCCGAACGGCCCCGTCGGCCCCGCGCTCACCTCCCTAGAGGCCCCTTACGGCCCCGTCGGCCCCGCGCTCACCTCCCTAGAGGCCCCGAACGGCCCCGTCGGCCCCTAGAGGCCTCGAACGGCCCCGTAGGCCCATAGAGGCCCCTTTACAGCCCCGCGCTCACCTCCCTAGAGGCCCCGAACGGCCCCGTCGGCCCCGCGCTCACCGCCCCTAGAGGCCCCGATCGGCCCGTGACCGCCACAGCCCAGGACCAAACCGAGCCGCCCAGGACCGAACCGAGCCGCGCGACCCGAGCCGAGCCGCGCGACCCGAGCCGAGCCGCGCGACCCGAACCGAACCGCGCCGCCCCAACCGAGCCGCGCCGCCCTACCTGAACCGAGCCGCCCTACCTGCTTCATCCTCCTACTCCTACTTCTACTCCTACTGCTTCTATGGCTAGCCCACAGGTGCTAGTTCTCGATGCTGAGGGCTGCCCAGTGAAGTTTGACACCTGGCTAGACGACCTGCACCTCTATCTACTGCTCATAGCCAAGGACGACATCTCACTGTACGACCACGCCCTAGGCCATGTCACTGCCCCTGCTGCTACTGCTGACAGCACTGCCCACTCACAGTGGCAGACTCGTGATGCCCACGCTCGCTTCACTATTCGCAACTCTCTGCCGATAGACGAACGCGAGCACTTTGGCCAGCACAAGACTTCACAAGCACTGTACACAGCTGTCGTTGCTCGCTACTCCTCACCTCCTCTGCCGCGCTAGGCCGTCTCTCCCTCCCCTACCTGTTTCCCGACCTGGCCTCGTTCCACACAGTTGCTGACCTCATCACGCACCTCCGTACTAGTGAGGCCCGCTTCCGTGCCGCCATGCCTGATGAGTTCATTGCCACGCACCCCCCCCCCCCACTCTGGCTCACTCTCTACCACCTAGTCACCCGCCTCCCTGACACTCTGCGTGCTATCAGGGATCACTTCCTAGCTCGCTGCCCCACTAAGCTCACCATTGCCCTCCTCGAGAAGGAACTGCTTGCAGCTAAGGCTAGCATCATAGCTGTAGGTGCCTCTCGTGGCGAACCCCGTACCCCGTTCTTTGAGGGGTGTTCTCCTTCCCCCCTTCTTCCCTCTGTCGCCTCTGCTGCTGCTGTCGACCTCCTTGGTGCTGAGAAGGTCGGTACTGCGTCTGATTCGAGCGGGCGCCGCAGCAGCAAGGGCAAAGGGGGCAAGGGAGGAGGTGGTGACGGCGGTTGGGGTGGTGGTGGGACTGGTGGGGCTAGTGGTAGCGGTGGGGGTGGTGGCGGCAGCGGCGGGGGAGGTGGCAGGGGCGGAGGCGGTGGTGGGGGTAACGGTGGACGCGGCGGCGGCACGGGTTGGGGTGGTCGAGGAGGTGGCGGCGGCGGTGGTGGTCGTGGAGGCGCTGGCGGTGGCCAGGGCCAGCAGCACACTCCGTCGCCCCAGGAGGTCCGTGAGTGGTACTCTCTGCACGGGGGGGGAGGTGGCTTTAGCTGCACATAAGTCATTCGCACGGGTGACCGCATTGGTCAGCCGTGTGGGGGACCGCACGCCACACAGCGCTGCTTTGCTCGTCTCAACGATGCTTGGCGTGTTCAGTTCCCTCAGGCCACTGAGCTGCACCGCTGGGTTGAACTCCTGAGGAAGGGGATTGATATCTATGCTCAAGACTTTGATGCTATTCTATCTGCTATGTATGTGATGTCTACTAGTGGAGAGGGTGCTGAGTACCTGTGTGTGCCGCCCGACCTGGGCATTAGGACTAGTGCGTCTGCCGCTCCAGGTACTCGCGTGTTTGCTACCCCAGGTGCTGGTGAGGCAGCTACTCTAGTTGCTTGTGCGTCTGCCCCCCCTGGTACTGAGTCGACTGCAGCATTGCACACCTTCACACTGGACTCAG